ACGAGCTGCTGTCCAAGCACCAGCCGTCTGTCAGCTGTCCCTGGCTGGCCTGCCAGTACAGGTGCCCCTTCTGGGCGTCAAGTAAGAGCCTGTAACACAGCCACCCAACACTTAATGCATCACATTCCCTTTCTGCTGCCGCATGTTCCCTCACCCCAGCTGGTGGGGCTGAGGGGTAACCGCTCCCCGTGGCATGGCTTCCTTCACGGGCCAGGGCCAGCACACCCTGAGCTGGGGCTCGAGCTGATGAAACTGCTGGTTCCAAACCTGTGATGTCCCCCACTGCTTCAGTCTGGGATGCCGACTTGCAGGCAGTTGCGAGGTGTTTACGCCAGGCTGTGTGCATTTCTTATTTTCAGATAGCTTCTACCTTATTTTTGTGGTTTACTCAAAAGCTGAATTCAGCAAGAGACGTTGGGGAAAGCCCCAGCTGAATTGCTTTCTCACTTCTGATGCCCAGGTTCCCCCCAGATTGATTTGGGGGGGCACAGGAGTGCTAAGCCATGGTAAAAGCTTAGGGTAAATTGAATTCTCTCCATTAGGACAGAGCAGCTCTCTCCCCCGATTTGTCACTCAGCTGGATTGGATCTGTAATTGAAAGATCTCCCCCTAATCTGCTCCACCTGCACGCACCCCTCCCCTGATCTCAGCACTTTGTGAATCCATCGAACTTTCCTCCTTTTGTGTGTGCGTGTGTTTTCCTCCTCCTGTTAATAATGCAGCCAAAACTCATCTCCGTCTGTCCGTTCCCCTTCTGGAGAGGCACATTCTCTAGTCTTCATGAGTTCAGTGGCAGCGCACATAATTATGCATATAAGATATAAACAGAGCTGTTTAATTATCCTTCGCCACATCAGTGACAGAGTAATTAACAAACATTGCAAGATCAATGAGGAAAAGTGTGACCTTCAGTTTCCTTTGATAGGAAAGCCCTTGTCGTTCCCAGACACAAGGTGATTGTGCCTGGACTCTGTTTTTAGTTTGTTTTAATTCCCCCCCTCCCCCCATTTGCAGCTTTTATTTGCTACAAAAACTAAAAGGAGGGGAACTTAAATGTAAAAAATATGTTACCAAACTGGGGAAAATGAAAAGGAACTGAGGTTTCTCACTGGGGTTGGAGTTCTCAGTAAAATGCCTTTGTAGGGCTGTATTGTCAAAGGATTATGCAAAAATGAGTAAGCGTTCATGGGGGGCTGAAGACTCATTTATGTTTTAAGGCAGGTAATGGCACATGCGGGGTCCGGTTTACATACACAGCCACATGGGATTTGACTTGCAAACAGACATGCTGCCAGTCTTGAGCATCTGTTTCAAGAACCCTGTTGTAAATGTCGTTTGCAACGTTTCCCTGGAAAGCACAAACTGAAACATCTCTTGCTTTGGAAAGGACAAAGTTCTTTTCCTCTTCTGTCTTTCTGTCAGTGTTCCAGAAAATGGATTTTAAGCTGTTCATCGCTGAGTCCTCTCAGACCTGGTGTTACTGGGTGCGAGTTCAGTTTATTCCAGTGAGATCTGAAACTGCCTATACCAAAAAGGAGGGATTTTTCCTGTGAGTTGGGGGGTAGCAGGAGGCAGAGCAAAAGAGAGGAATACAGCTCTGCCCTCCTGGTCAATGCAGCTTCGGGGGAGTCATCACAGGAACCTGGTTTTGAAGGTTCTGAGCACGCATTGCTCCCTCTGAGGACATGGAGAGTACAGAGCTGGCAGTGCTCAGCAGCATTTAAAACTGAGCCCAGACTTCTTTGATCAACTGGAAACTTGTGTAAAAAGCAGGAGCCACACAGAAAACCAGATCCTACATCTAGCTGGGCTTTCTTGATCTGTGGGGAAAGTGATCCTAATTATTATGGGGCTGAGAAGGGTTCCTGCTTCTTGGAGTCCTGATGTGCACACACAGAGCCTGCTTTATGGGACTTCAGCTACTGCTTGAAATCCCTGCCGCCTTGTCTCCTTCCAGGGTCAGACAGCGAGGCTTGTTGCATATCAGGCAGGAGTTTGCAAAGACTTGGTCCATGCTATTCAATCCTCATGCTTTGAAACAAGATGAGGAACATGCACGTACGGCTTCCCTACTTCTTTTTCTGAGCCACCCCTTGGAAACAAGGGAGTAATGAGTCAGTGCTCAGTCTTGCCTAATGGGCCTCCCTCTCTGGTAGAGCTAACAAACGTTCAGGAGTCGCAAAGCTGGCGTCTGTCAGGAGATGGGTGTCAGAAGCTGATCTGGACATGCAGATACGTTTCTTCATTCATTCACGCACCCTCTCCTGCACACTGACTGACCCATACTTCTCTACACACATTGGGGGTTGGACTAGATGACCTCTAGGGGTCCCTTCCAACCCAAACCATTCTATGATTCTATGATATATAGCATTTAGATTCCCCAGTACAGTCTCTGACAGAGATCCCTTTCCACAATCTCTCACTGACGAACACATACCCAGGGAGATTTCCTCTATAGTCCCATGTTCTTTACTCTGCCTGTTACTTACATAGTGGGCTAAAGTACTCACCAGGAGCTTTCCCCTGTACAAGCTTTCAAAGTTCTCCTTTCGTTTCTTAGCCTATTGGCTAAGTCTCTTAGGGAATACTGGCCCTGTTTTCAACATGGGGCGTTTTCTCTTCATAATTTCATGGGGAGACTCCACTTGGGAGAACACGCACGATGAGTGCCAGTTTCTTGCTCGTTATCGTATAGCCCCCAAGTCTACATGTTTTCCCTCCCAAGCAGAATAAAGGACAGAGCCCTGGCTGGGATGTCCCATCCCCCAGTATCCAGACCTTGCACTCCATTTGGGCTGTTTTGCTTTTCCATCCATATATAGTGTGCTGCTGCAGGCTATTTTTAGCCCCTTTTTTGCTAGCTTCGGATCCTTTGTGATACGATAGCTGCTCTGAGACACACAGATCTCTCTGCTCTTTGGCAATGCCCACAAATGGAGAGCAGCGGCAAGGGGAGAGGGAGCCTTTTTATTATCACATAGAAAAGGAGAGAAAAATGCAGTGCAGGGGAGGGGAAGAAGACCCAGGGACAATGCTTCCTGTGCCTTCCAGGGCTGTGCACTTTCCACAGGAATTTGTTTCCCAGCTGTTGTCCTGCTTCACTTTTGTCTGCATGTGGATATGGGGAGGGTTTTCTGTCGATTAGGTCATAACAATTACCTCTTCGCTGTCGTTTGAAAGTGTATGTGAAATGAGTTGGCTGGGTCTCATACTGTCTTTGTGGTGAGACAGCTCCCTTCCATAAGGTGCCTTCACTTGAAGAGCCTCTAGCCTTCTGGTTAGGTGCCTGTGCAGATAAATGAAGGTTGTCTTGGTTTTAGGGGATATGTTGGTGGGCTCAACTGGGATGAGTGAAGGTGTGCTTGCTAGGCAGTGAGTAGTGGGAACTGGCCAGGATTTCATCTCAAATGTGGTTGAGGAAAGACTGAGCAGCAGCTCATCAGGGAGGGTATTGCAATCATCTGGAACCAAATTTGAGCAAAGGAAAAGCAGAATGCAAGGTTTTTGGGGGCATTAAATCCAGGGTAGTGAAACCTGAACTCGAGCTCAGACATTGCAAAGCTCAAAAAAAAAAGGTCTGAAAACTCTCCCTTTCCTAGTCTTGGGTTTTGCATCTGATTGTTTGCACCAATTGAGGTCTAGCCGCATGGGTACCAAAGATGCTTTCCAAGACCAGGTGTGCAGGTGAGAGAAGTTTAAAAAGGAGCTGGTCTCCTGCAGCGTTTCATTTTCTCCACTGTTAAAAGACAATACTAGGTTTCCTTGAATCTCCTCTCTGGATGTGTAACGTCTGTGGGGCCTGAACCGAGCTGGGATTTGTAAAACTGATTTGAGATGTGGGATTGAAAAAGAAGGTCTCCCCTCTTTTTTCATGTGCTGCAGGTTAGGATAAAGAAGGAAAGGGGTTGGCTGGCTTTCGGGGCAGCTGTTAAAGCTAGTAAAAATTACACTTAATAGTTTAATTTCCTATCAGATCCTCTCTGTGGTATTCTTTCTCCCCTTGCAGTTTGGCACAGGCTATCTAGAGTTTTTCTGTGCAGTGCTTGGAAGTCAGGGCATTGTGAAGGAGGCTAGGGGATTTTTTTACAGGTCCAAAAAGAGAGGAAAAGCAGAACAGAGAAAGCAGATTTAACAGGAAGAGGAAAGTGTTAGACCCAGTAGGGATTTCATGGGTTTAATCATTGCTGTTGGGTCATAGGGTTACACTGAAATGGAGGTAGAGAGGAGAGAAAAAGAGCTAAAAGGTAGAACTGCTTTAAAGCAAGATGAAATTATTTAATATGTCTGTGTGTGAAAGATAAAGTTGATGGCTTTGGTAGGGTGTTAGAGGGGCCACAGGAGAGGGCCAAGTGGGGAAGCACAGGTGAAATGATCCTGCCTCTGAGGATGGAGTAATACAGTCTTTTCTTGTGGTTTCCTTTTGATAAGTCTTGTTATTGGACACTGTGGGGCATGATTCTGCATTTAACATCCTTTAAGATTAATACTGACCTGTGAGGTTGTGTGAGGACAAAAAGCTACAACCTGAGCCAGACACTGCAGGGCACTGCCACCCATTCTGTAACTAACAGGGTGTCTATTCTGAAGTCAGGCATCCCAAAATCCATGCAGGATGCTGGGTCTAAGTGCCCAGAACTGGAAAGTCATTTTGGGCTAAACTAGATCCCAGCACTTAGCAGATATGTCTTTGTCCTTCTGCAAGCTTCAGCCAAGTTGTTTGGATTGTCTTTCTCAGGTACCACGTACACACGCAACTAGTGCAGCAGCACTTCTGCTGCATGAACGCAGCTATACTGGGCAATATTGAAACAGGACTATGACTGTCATGGTCTTGCACATTTTAGTGCCTGTTGCAAGCAGTCTCTTCCTCCTTATAGTCCTGTGGAAGCTGTTGGCTATTGAACTTTGACTTTCCTCATTGGCTGGGTCTTGTATGTGTGGAAATGCTTTCGAGTATGTGTGTGCCTGTGTGTATGGCATCACTGCCTGTAAGATCCCCCAAATCCTGGGGGTCTCTTTTCATGCTTTGGATCTGTTGACCCGTTCTGTGACTGTGTCTTGGTGCCTTCCTTTTCCACTATGTTTCAAGGCAGTGTTGATTTGATTTGAGCAAGCTGGACCCAGTGACCAGAACCTCCATTCTGCTGCCAGTGTACCTGCCTGTGCTGGCTCCCTGTGAACGAGTGTGCTTGCTCATGAGAGCTAGAGTGAGTGATTGGAAAAGATGACGAGGGAGGTTTGAAGGACTCCTGCACACAGTAAATCTTTACTCTGCAGGAGAAAGCGAGAGGGAGAGGAGGAGGAGCGCTGTGTCAGACTGAAGCCTAAATGAGTCCGAGCTGGCACGTCAGAGCAATCTTTATTTCCTCCTTTACACTGATATTGGGTGACCTCCAGATGTGTGTTCTTCCCCTCCTGGTGTCTTCTGGAACTGCCTGAGGCAGTAAGGGAGGGAGGAAGGGACAGAGAGACCCAAGGAAGGACAGCTTTTCCTCATTTTTCCTCCCTGTGATCACACTCAGGTAGACCAAGCCCTTCCTGCCCCTTCCCCAGCTAGTGCTCCAGAGAATAGCCTTTCTCTCTCTCTTTGGAGCCTGCATCAGGACAACAGCCCTTTCTGTCCTCAGTCCAAATTCTGATGGAGAGAAGGCTGTGGCTTTCCTGTTTTGTACCTGCATGGACTTTTCCCTTTCCTGGTCTTACTGGAAGCTGTTTCTGGCTGTTCAGGAGGCTGCCTGTAGGTTTCCACAGCCTTTGCTGGACTGTGCCCCCTTTTCACACGGAGAGTAATAGCTCTCCAGTCATTGGGACAGTGAAGGAAGGGAGCCAGTTGGGTGAAAAGAAACCTTATAAAATTGACAGGGAAGGAGGGAAGGGAAGGTCTGCAACAGCTATGGGGAACTCTCCTGTCTTTGTCTTGCCTTCTTTTCTCCACTCCTTCCCCCCGACTCCTCACTACCAAGCTTCTCATGCATATAGCCTTTG